TTCACTGCATCTTACTTTCCCCTGAACTTTGGTTTCCGAGGCAATCGTGCATCGAGAGGAGTTGCGAATAGGAACGCAGACGTTCGTTATTCAGATAACAACCGAACGCTTGGTGAACTTGAAGCAGGAACTTCTATCTGAAATAATTACTTAACTTGAAGTCTCATATGTTATCTGCCTCTCGACATCTGGAATGCCGGTTGGGCAGACTCGTGGTTATCCTTGCACAGGGTGCAGCACACGCCTGCGGCTTTGTACAGTACATTGATGCACCCTCATAGGGTAATGTGTCCCTGCTTGGCTGAGGTCATATCTAATATCTCCTCTCACTGTAATTGATCAGCACATGTCGACTTTCTGGCACGGATCCTGGCGTTTGTGGAAACCACTCGAGTTCAGGTCAGACTACTTTGTGCAGGTGAGAAACTGGTAGCATCTGGCTTTTAGCGGGCAATGCATGGCTGGGTATATCGGCGTTGGCATGTTTCAAATGAAATTGGTCTCTGATTTTATTTTATCTTTTTTCACCTACGTTAACTTGGAATTACGGATCTCAGACGGCATGGCTAAATTCATCATACTGGCCATAGTCTACCCACTTGCCTCATCCTCCAGGGTTACTCTCCAAGTTACACGGATGTTGTAGGTTAGATATTGGTAATTTCTAGGCCATGTTGACAGGTAAGGTAGCCATTTCAGTAAGTAGTGTGCGACGATGGTTATTGTTGACATATAGACAATGCAACATTCCCGATCCTTGTCGTCTCAACGTTATCGCTGATCCTATATCCGCGTTATACCATCGGGTGATTCATCTTGTCCAGAGTGAAAAGATATATTGAAGGCGGCACCAATGGTCACTATAAAAGCTACCCCAATTGCGAGGATGAGAGAAAATCGGTAACGAATGTCTCCATTTTTTAGCATGTCAATCCATCCTAATGCAAAATTTGTGTGGCGCCCCAAAGATTTCTGCCTTTGGTTTCTTTGAACGTCCATATATAACAATCAGTAGCAGCCACCTCACCAGGGGTTACTTGAAATAAGATACGAGTGCGCAGCAAAAGTTGGTTGCGCTATGACATGATGTGTTCGAAGAATAGCAATAGGGCATAGGGGGTAGAGGATGCATTGTAGGCGTATGGGATAGCAACACTGGTATGGGCCCAGACCATCTGAGCCTCGTCAATGCAACCCTTGGTCACCCTTTGGCGTGAGTAGGATTATAAGAAAAAATAAGTTTTAAAGTATATCAAGTTGGATAGCTTGATATTACAGTGGAGAATGGCTGATAATTTTAGGCAAAAGACCAGCTACATCAGGACACATTATCTTAGTACTCCGCACATCATGTGAAGTTGGGGAAGCTCTATGGCTGATAAGATGGCTTGGCTCACGTGCTACAGCGGCCGGGCCTACTAACGCGGAATAACACTTTCTGCTCCTTATACTATGATAGCAGTGGTAAGTATTTCTACAAATCATTAACACTACGGTATTCGCTATACCTCTCTGAGTCTGAAATTGAAAATTGCTGGGCGTAAGCCTTGCCCTGGTCGATTGGTTTAATCCGTTACAAGCTATACCAGCAGACTGGGCAATAAAGCTACATTGGTTTTTAGCTCGATTGATGTTTTGAAATGTTTCTCGAATAATCGAAACCGGCGGCCGAGTTCTCTCAATGTATCATGCTAGACGAATACTTCGAAAATCCCAGGTAACGTTCCGGATAAGCCAACCATTACCTCGGGATTCAAACTCGGTAACTATTCGTCAAGTACAAGTTAAACGCCAATGGGCCAGGTATGCTGAGCAGCTCATAGTCCAAAGGTGTCGTGGTATCACTTCCTTTACTCACAAGTGCTTCAGGAAATTCATAGCTACCTTTTTTCTGTGTGGGACAGCGCTTCATCTCTTAACTTCAGTCGCTGTCCTGCGGTTTGATGAGTCGCTCTATGATACTGATCAGTCACCGGAGAACCTGCCAGGCCTCGATGCCTCATCCAGGACTGGGAAGTTTGACCCGGACGAAAATGTTCCTCCCTACTCAGAACATGCTGCTACTATACAAACTCGCTTCCTTCCCCTGAGTTGGCCTCGCTTACAGGAAGGAAACTTTTATGTAGCGACAGACCCTGAGTGGCAAGCGTTTAGGAAACTAGCCCTTGACAAGAACAAGCTCTCGGGTTTGAAAGGTATTTGCGAGCAGATGGTCCTTCAATCGTTTCGAAATTAACCAGCCATGAACATATAGATGAGTTAATTTCGGCTGTTTTGGATGTCTCATCCCAAACACGACTACTTAATTATATGCTGGGGGGGCCACTGTCTGTCGCAGGAGTTTGGCTAGAACACCGATTTCCGTACCGTGCACCCCCTGTATACTATCGATCTGGGTATGTATGTCCTGATTAGTACAGTATATTTTGCTCATTGGTACAGACTAGAACTATCTCAGAATGGTCTCGCCTGGGTTTCGAAGCCAATAACTGCAGAAGACGGCGACTGCCTGCACAGATGCATGAGGCCTTTAAGTGTGGCACACGCAATTAAGGATGCTTTTTTGGTTCTGTGGAGCAGACAGATTTCCCGACTTAGCCCAGGTTTGATGGATGAGCAGGTGTCGGGGTCTTTTATTTCTCTAGATGCAAATTTATTGCCCTCAGTATTGCAAGGTTCGGATGGACTTGACGACGTTTCTCGGTGGGTGTCACAGCCGCCTCCCCTGAACTTCCAAGATGGCAGCCCGTCAACCAGGGACTGCTCCCGTCCACATACTTCACTGTGCATTACTGCGTTGCAGAAATTACCGCTGCCAAACCTTGGGTCTGGTTCCGACCTACGTATGGCGCTGCTGGCTTTCAAGGGGCGATTAGATTACTGCTGGGCTCGCAACGCGCACACATCTCGTCGCGGTGTCATGTACATTTCTGGTCCTATTGGTATACGAGGCCCTAGGGGGGTGTGCAGAGTGGAGGTGAAGGGGGAGTACGATGTTGTGAGGTCTCAATGGACTGCTATCTCCATGGATATTAGAGATCTTAATCTGTTCAGTCAAAGGGCACTTGGTCCCCGTTAGCAATCCTTATGTCCATTGGCTGTAACTCAACCGGCTTGTGTAGACCACCGATCCCCAAGCGTACCAATCAACCTCAATACCCTGTTATACTTTATGCCCTCAAGCCATTGTGAGATACCAGCGAGAGACATGGTTTGGTGTGTTTGTCAGACGGTCTCTTACAGATTAATATAGGTTCATGAAATACTTTCGGAGACCACATATGGAGGGTTCAGCTTCGCAACGGGTTATTTGATGCCCGCATCAAATGAATATAACGGCGTCTCAATATGGATGTGTATATCTTCCTCCTACCTGGCCAAAGTCCGTGCCGCCAGCCAAACTACGTACCACCACTTCAGATTCTGCATAAACATGTAGGGCGACTCGAGCGCTAGTTAGTTATCATTGGTCAAACCAAGTTTAGTAAGCTTCAATAAGTGTGTACATGAAGATGAACCATTTTCCTTTACTGATGCTCAGTAGCTCAAGTATTATCCTGATTGAGAATTAATTACCAAAAAGGTTAACTAATTTATCACAGCCACGCTGGCCATCCATCCGAGTCAGTCACGTATGTTATACCATATACAAGTCATTGTTCTATATCATAATTACTAATAGATCTTCTTTGAGGCTATTATGAACTTTGAAGATTATGAGAAATATGTTTCATGTTATCAGTAGTCCTTCGTATTTATAAAGCGTATAACTTGGAAAATATAAAAACTCTTTAAGTTATAAAACAGTATTCTATTCTGATCAGGGAATTTTATAGAAAAACTTGATGAATATGTTTAGATTTGATATGTTTAGATATGTATATATATATATAGTGATAATTATCACACCGGTTAAGATATATTATCATAAAAAGAACTTGTCTCTCTGTATAGAATCATGTAGATAGCTGACCCGCACGCTGCTGTCAGTTAGTTATCTTAGCATATGATAACCTGACTAATCAATTATAACGTCAACTAACTAGTTAGCTAGACCAACTAGTTAACTAACCAGTTAACTAACGTAACGTAGCTAGTTAATTGATGTGTAATCACTTTACCCCCGCAGATAAGCACGGGCTGTGTAGAGGGGCACTTTCTTTCCAGCTCACTACTCTATACTCCAAGGACAAGGGTTGACTATAGTCGGTGTAAAGATAATGGCTCTTCATCCCAGATTTTCGGGTCAGAAGTTGTTGACAGCCAACTTACAGCAACCATGGCATACCCTCGAACTATGTATGTAAATCTAATACTGATAATGCTCTTCTGTACCCCGATGACTAACGCATTGATCATCGAAGACCTTGATTATGTCTGCCCTGTTAGTACTTATACAGCACCCTACGCAGGAAGAGTGTACTAAATATACTACTTCCAGTACTCCGCAAAGCTATTCAGCACATTCTACACATCGGTGAGACCAATTATCTTACAAAATTATCAATCAAGACTTCAGGTTGTCTTTCGTCAGCACGTTCAACCTTGGCATCCGTCATCCACTTTGACGCATGAAGCTGGTGCGGCGGTGTTGAAAATAGCTCCAGACAAGTTCTGGGAATTTAGCGCTGCACTGTTCAGTCACCAAGAAGAATTCTTTGATGTCAGTGTTGTTAACGAGACACGCAACAAGACATATCAGAGACTTGCGAAGATAGCCGCGACAGTTGGTGTGGATGAACACGAGATGCTCGAATTATTGAACATCAGCGAAGTTATTGCTGATGGACAGTTGAATACCGGCAACAAGGTGACGAATGATATCAAATTGATGGTCAAGGTGCGCCATTGAAATATTGTTACTGTGCTCAACATTGAATCCTAACTAGATTTAACAGTCAGGTCGAACAATCGGCGTCCATGTATCTCCGACCGTATATTTCAATGTAAGCCGTCTCATTATTAATTGAGCGATTTGGTGCACTGATTCCGCTGGTTAGGGCGTCGAGGAACCAGGTATCAGCAGCAGCTTCACGGCCACACAATGGGAGCAATGGCTGGCCATGAATGTAGCGTAGGAATTGTGCTCTAAAAGAGAGTGGTATGATAACAGGAGGTATTCAAGTTCAGATGATAATTGTGGGCATTCTTTGGTAGCAAGGAGCATATCTCAACAGGATGAGATTTCTGAATGCAATCTAATCATATGGGCCTTCTTGCATGCGTAGCTCCACTATCAGTGACTGTAGACTATCAGTGACTGTAGTCTTCGAAAATCGTATTGGTGTTTCTGAGGCGACGGGGGCAAGGTTGGCATCAGGAATGTTCCAGCTGACGAGTTACTGTGATACTGGCGGCTGATAGTTTAAGGGGCGCCTATATGCGTTGTTAGGAATAGAGAACGATGGCAGGGTCACCATACTTACTTAAATAGAAGAATATGTGGTTCTGGCTCGTGCACTTCATAATGTTCCCAACCCAAGCTCTGATAAAAGTATTAGACCTCTTACAGTGATAAATTTGTTCGACCTCTTCTTACGTACTTGAGTGATACCAAGTGCTCGCCATTCATCCTCCCACAGTAGTTTTAGCGTTCCCTTTGAACTGTCAAAATAGTCTGCAGGGATTTTCTTGAGCATGTTTTTGGGAAGTTGGACATGGCGGTATTCGAATTGGTCATCTGAGTATCTGTGTTTACTGTAAGGTCGAGGCACACCAAAAGATTGTCGCTTGTCTGCGGCATACCTAGCTGAATAATGGATAGAATCAATGAACTCCTCTAGTCTCTCCCGTTCAGATTCTAGCAAAGGGCGGGGCTTTTTATTCCTTCTGCTCAGATCGATGTCCATCTGGAAAAGCGGGGGTAGCGGGGCAAACACTATCGGAATCACTGCAGTCGGATTGCTGTTAGAGAAAATAACATCGAATCGTACATTGTTGCGATTATTGATAGAAAGTCCCAGCCTGTTCTTCACAAACGGTCCAAGCAGACACTTACAAGTAAATAGTCTTTTGGTAGCAGAGTGAGGAAAAGCAAATGGGTGACAGGACTTCGAGTCTCAAAGAGATGCAAATAACGTTGTGGTGACGACTTGTCGAAATATGTCTCTTCTCACTGACCTCTCAAGTGTATAACAAGCGAGGTGTAGATCAAAGCTGTCTTGGTTTAAGGGCGTAGAAAGAGCCTCCATTAAGATGTCCGAGCAGTGACTCTTCGACTGTTTGGGATACAAGTGGAGTAGCTACCCGCTTTAGTGCCTAAGGTGTCAAGAACTGATACCTGGACTAGATAGCTGTAGGCTGAATTGTGTTTTATCATACCAACCATGTACAAGTCAAAATCATAAGGGGCCTACCTTCGCTGAAAGATTGGAGGAGCACAGTCGGACCCTTTGCTGCCTATTCTTCTCTTCCCAACATAATTTTGTCAAGGATCGTGCGGGCTTACTGGATGGCTTATACGAGAATTTTTCTACACTCTTAATGTGATAAACCAAATCTTAACCGTATGGTAAAAGCTTGTATGAAAAATCAAGGGGACAAACTTGCATACTGAACATGGAGAAGGGAACCAAAATCCTAGTGAAGCAAAGTCAACACTTCTCGACAGGTACTAATTACCCTGTGCCCCAATCTGAGTACTATCGACTAGTAGTAGTAAAGAGCCGAAGAAAGAATCGCCTGATTATCTAAGAAGTGAAGTCCAGCAGCCAACCAGGGCTTGAAACCCAAGTTTAGCTCAGCCGAGAACGCGCCAAAACCGGCAGTCCTCGAAGAAGCCCGCGGCGGATTGGGTGAGAAATGAAGGGGCAAAAAAAAAAAAAAAAAAAAAAAAAATCGAGGAAGGAAGGAAAAATTGCAAAGTGGGTTTCTTTTTTTTTCATCCAATTTTTAACCGCTCCCACTCCAGCGCCTGGGGCAAAATTTATTTAGTCTTCCTCTCCTCCAACAATCGTCCTGCCTTTTGGCATCATTTCAATTTTTCTATCCTATCTCTCTTGAGACATACACATTTGTCAAAATGGCTGACGAAGTCTACGAAGGTGCCATCGGCATTGATCTTGGTGAGCCATTTCTCTACCGTGTTGTCCCAAGTAATGACTGACGAGATACTTCAGGAACCACCTACTCTTGTGTGGCCAACTACGAGGGTACCAATGTTGAGATCAGTATGTCGTTACCTGTGTCCTCTAGATACGGCGCTGGTGAGCTTATAAACATGCAGTTGCCAACGAGCAGGGTAGCTACACTACCCCATCCTTCGTTTCTTTCACCGACAAGGAACGCTTGATCGGTGAAGCCGCGAAGAACCAGGCCGCTATGAACCCTACGAACACCATCTTTGACATCAAGTAAGCAGCTTTTTGCTGGAAACATGTTCACTATTAATCAAATACAGGCGTCTTATCGGTCGGCGGTTCGAGGACCCCATTGTCAAGAAGGATGTTGAGTCCTGGCCCTTCAAGGTTGTTGATCAGGGTGGAAACCCTGTGGTTGAGGTCGAGTATCTTGGCGAAACCAAGACTTTCAGTCCCCAAGAAATCTCTTCTATGGTTTTGATGAAGGTAACATTCCTTTTCATCCCAATCACGCGGATTGCTTGCTACATTCCCTCTTGCGATACTGACCGATTACTCTAGATGAAAGAGGTTGCCGAAACCAAGCTCGGAAAGAAGGTCGAGAAGGCAGTCATCACCGTGCCCGCTTATTTCAACGACAACCAGCGCCAGGCTACTAAGGATGCTGGTGCCATTGCTGGTCTCAACGTGCTCCGTATCATCAACGAGCCCACTGCAGCAGCTATTGCTTATGGCCTTGGCTCCGGCAAGTCTGATAAGGAGCGTAACGTTCTCATCTACGATCTTGGTGGTGGTACTTTCGATGTGTCTCTCCTTAACATCCAGGGTGGTGTCTTCACTGTCAAGGCTACTGCTGGAGATACCCACCTTGGTGGTCAAGACTTCGATACCAACCTCCTGGACCACTTCAAGAAGGAGTTCCAGCGCAAGACTGGCAAGGACCTCTCCGGTGACGCGAGAGCCCTTCGTCGTCTCAGAACCGCCTGTGAGCGTGCTAAGCGTACTTTGTCCAACGCTACCCAGACTACTGTGGAAATCGACTCTTTGTTCGATGGCGAGGACTTCAACTCTTCTATCACTCGTGCTCGTTTCGAAGACCTGAACGCTAAGTCTTTCTCGGGTACTCTCGAGCCTGTGCAGCAGGTTCTCAAGGACTCTGGCCTTGAGAAGAGCAAGGTCGATGAGATCGTCCTCGTTGGTGGTTCCACCCGTATCCCTCGTATCCAGAAGCTGCTTAGCGATTTCTTCGATGGCAAGAAGCTTGAGAAGGTAAGTGCAACTCTCGCCATCTGTTTAACGAGTCTTGTCCTAACGAATTCGAATTAAAGAGCATCAACCCCGATGAAGCCGTTGCCTATGGTGCCGCCGTCCAGGCCGGTATCTTGTCTGGAAAGGCTTCTTCGGCTGAAACCCAGGACCTCCTCCTGCTTGATGTCGTTCCCCTTTCTCTCGGTGTTGCTATGGAGGGTAACATCTTCGCTCCTGTTGTGGCCCGTGGTCAGACTGTCCCTACGATCAAGAAGCGCACTTTCACCACCGTTGTCGATAACCAGACAACCGTGCAGTTCCCCGTTTACCAGGGTGAGCGTACCAACTGCGCTGACAACACCTCTCTGGGAGAGTTCACCCTCGCTCCCATCCCCCCCATGAGGGCTGGAGAGGCCGCTCTCGAGGTCGTTTTCGAGGTTGATGTCAACGGTATCCTCAAGGTTACTGCTACCGAGAAGTCCTCTGGACGTAGCGCCAACATTACCATCTCCAATGCCGTCGGCAAGCTTTCCACCACTGAGATTGAGCAGATGATTGACGGTACGTTTGACGCAGTCAGAGATCTATGCAGACATACTGACGTTTTCTAGACGCTGCGAAGTTCAAGTCTAGCGATGAGGCTTTCACCAAGAAGTTCGAGTCTCGCCAACAGCTCGAGTCCTACATCTCGCGTGTTGAGGAGATTGTTTCCGACCCCACCATGTCGCTGAAGCTGAAGCGTGGCAACAAGGAGAAGATCGAATCGGCACTCAGCGATGCCATGGCTCAGCTTGAGATCGAAGACTCGACTCCTGAAGATCTCAAGAAGAAGGAGCTTGCTCTCAAGAGACTTATCACCAAGGCCATGGCCACTCGGTAAACAAATCTCTGCGATCCTATCATGCTCTAGGTGCGGCACTATACAATTGCCCTTGCCTCTATCATTCACCCTTCAGTCCCACCATCCGACTTGCGCAAAGTGACCGATTTCTTTGCTTCACCTTAGATTGGAGACCTTAACGTCGTCTACGGAATTTCCTTTTAGATGAGGCGTGTTTATTCATGACCGGGTACAAAATTGCAAAAGTAATTTACGAAAATTTTATATATGAACTTTTTTATCATCTTAATGGTCTTCTTACGTATGATTGCACGAGCCCTTTGCCCAACCAAAGTGTATTGCCCCTATGGACATTGCCTCTGTATCTCCCGCACCACCGTTAGACTTTGAGAACGGCGACTTGTTAGAATTGCCATTTGAAACTGCCTTCCATAACCATTTTGTAGGTCGTCATAGCTACCATGGCGAGCTGCTTGTGTTCTAAATGAACTAATCATGTAATCTACTACGCGGAGACATCGGTGGCTCGCTTGGAGACGCGTGATCAGGAAGTGGCTCTGTTCCCTTTGCCTCGGCAGTGTATCTTACCAAATCCTACCAACCTCGTCTATAACTATTCCTGCGCGCAGTTTGCTTCGAGTAACTGTACCCTGCGTGGTTTCTTATTACTGATAAGCATATAGGACACATACCCAACAAAGTCGGGCATCTGAAAAGCAGAAGAAGAGCGAAAATGCAACGCCGTGCGGCAGTTACCGGCCTCAGTTATATGCGTCGCTGCTCAACGTTTACTGGATTGCGTTATAACTTGATTTCTGAGCGCCAACTTCGGCCTTGGACTCAGCATAAGGTAGCACTTCCGTCTGACAAAAGAAGCTTTTCCAGTTCGCCTTTTTGGTGTAAAAAGAAGGACAAGACGAAAGCTACATCTGGTGCAGATTCTGGGAAGCCGTTGCCAAAAGTAGGCGCAATATCTGAAGACCCGCATGATTTTTCGCAGCTGCATGATGGCATAGCGGCTGCCCTGTCTCGACTCAGAGACGAGCTCTCTAAGATGCGTGTGGGGGGGAGGTTCAATACCGCATCAATTGAGAGTCTTCGTGTGCAGCTGAACAAGAGCAGCAAGCAATCGATTAAGCTGGGCGACCTTGCCCAAGTTGTTCCTAAGGGTGGACGGATGGTGACTATCTTGGCCTCTGACGAAGATGTGAGTTACTGAATGGTGCCTTGAAATTGTCTCTACTATCGTGAAGCCGACAAATTCTCTCAATATTTTTCGAGTCTTGTTCTAACACAGACTGTCTTTGATATAGCATGTGAAGCCCATTCGATCGTCAATAATTTCCTCCAACTTGTCGTTAACTCCGCAAGCCGACCCTCACAACTCTCTTCAGCTCAACGTCACGATCCCCCCGCCGACTAAAGAGTCTCGGGATCAAACGATCGCTCTGGCAAAGGCGGCAATGGAGAAAGCTGCCGGTGCCGTCCGTGATTCACGCAGTGCTGTACATAAACGCCTTCAGGATTTGCAGAAAAAGAAGATTTCCAGGCCAGATGACGTTCGGAAGGCCCAAGAACAGATGGAAAAGCTTGCAGAGAAAGGTCAGAAGGAAGTTAAGGAACTGTTTGAGGCTACAAGGAAGGCTATGGAGCGGGCGTAATGAGGAAGTACACTGCTGAAAGACCAGCTTTGAGTGAACCCAAATGGTGATATGAACACGAGTTCTGTAACTTATTCCAGAGAGTAATGTATTCTACAGTCACTTGCAAGGCATAAATGTAAACAATGACAAAGATAACAAGGGATCATGAAAAGCTGCAAAAGTATAGGTACATAGTAAGGATACTGATGGTATCAGAAAACAAGGTTCTCAGGGGCGTTTTGTCATGCGACTGGCGGCTAGAAGCGAGTCCAACTTCGCAATGAACGCAGAGGATTTGCCGACTGTGTGATACGTTGCATTGTTTCTGAGGTTTTCAGAGACACTGTCAACGATTGAGAGGTTGACCGCCTGTTTGGCTTTAGACTTAGGATAATTGCCCTGAACAAGAAGTCCGAGAAGTGAGCCTTGGTCCTTGGTGCTGAGTGGACTGAAGTTGACATGACGTGGTTCCACAAGATCGCCTTTTCGCTGGGACAACTTGTCTGCGCGTTCTTGCGATAGCTTGTTCGCTTCAGAGATGGCCTCAGCTTTTTCCTCTTCACTCGAAAAGCGGACAAATTTGCCCTGATAAAGTCGCTTGCCCAGCTCATTTGGAGGTACATAATCATTTGCGTAGCGATCGCCGAATAGAGACAACTTCTCAACGACTCCGGCAGTATGAGCGTCAATGTCGGTGGGTAGAGATGGCCATGTTTCCTTCAGTGAAGCTAAGGAGATCGACTCGGGATTGTACTGGACAGGCTTGGGCTGCGCTTGTTCTGCGAGCTCTCGGAAGACAGCGTTGATCGAGGCTTCATGGAATGCTGCATTGGATGTTGAATCTTCCTGGCCGGACCCCTCGGTGCGTCGAGAACGGCCTGCTCGCCCATCTTTAGATTGAACCTTCTTCTTTGGCCCAGCTCTAGGGCCTCGAGAAGCGGTGGATCGGTTGCCTCGAGAATTGCGAGCCCTGGGATTCTTAAGAATGTTTGCTGGTTGGCCAGTGGCTTGAGAGGCGGCGAGAGATCTCGCATCTACTATCCGTCGGGGACGAGGTCGTTCATGGTTGACGCTCCGAATGTTCAGGTTCGCCGGCGGAATGTTGTTTCTTCTGGTTTGCGCACTAGGACGTCCGGCGGCGGAAGAGGCTGCGGAACCCTCGGTTGCATTCGCATCTGCATTAGTTAGAAAAGCGAGTGACTGTGGACTGAGATATGATAGTATGCCCGGACGATAACAACCAGTGCCCAGGACAGAGACCAGTTGAGGGAGGGAAAGTGAGACGAGAGCAATGCAACTGTGAACTGGGCGGACGGAGACTATAGCGGAGCACACTTACTGGAGTGATTGTTGGAATCTTTTGCTTGTAAGTACGTAGCCGAAAACCGACGAATTGATGAAAGAGTCCCTTCTATTGCCCTGGCACGCCGAGGGCGTAGAAGCACGATCCGTTGTTGGAGCATCCTTGTTGATGAATATCTAAGGACTGGATAAGAGGGAGACTAAAAATGTTCGTTACCTCTAAATGCTACAAAGTCACGTGCTGCGCGACAGAAGCATACTCCAGACAACTCCCGTGGGTGCGGCAAGCCTCTCTAGTCACTACTCATTATTATCATCATAGCTTCGGTATCACGATCAAATATGTTGCGTCGCAAACCCACCGCTATAGCTATAACCTCCGAAGACCTTGCGACTTTTGAACAATCACGGCTCCGACAGCTCTCCAAAGAAACTCGTACCGAAGGCCATGCCAGCACTAGCTCCAATGTCAATCTTGACCCCAGCGATGAGCTCAAGCCATTGCCAGGGGACAAGGCGAGAATAGTCCGCTCGCGTGAAGAGCGCATCGGCATCAATCGACGCAATTAACTCTCGAAGGGTTTACCCAACACGTTGGCTTCTCCTGGCTACCAACTCATGCCTAGTATTTCCTTGGGCATCATCAGCACTTCCTAAGACCAAGAGAGCCCCGATTGGCAGTGAATATTTCGAATGTCCTACACAAATCAAGGTTTAGCCTTGCGCAGGTTAAATCCTCCTGCTACAAGTGCATATTCTACAACAAATAATATTACCCCCACAACTTGCGCATAACATTTCTCAAGTCTATTCTCAACGGCGTGCTGGGTGGGTTTGTAATCTATACTGCGAATCTTACACTTTTCACTGTACCACGTCTCTGTTCCTGCCTGTCTCATAATTCCTTATGATTATAGTGTCAACTGGGATCGTCATGGAATGCAATTGTATAGAGGCCACTGCAAGCCGATGGAGATTCATCTCGGTCGACTGAAGTGGCCCAACAGATAATGCCAGAGTGAATGAAAACAATTTCACTGGGCGAACGCTCTGTTATGATGCGGAGTGATAGACCATATGCCATTACAGCGTTGATTTGAAATAAAACCCTTACGTTACACGAGAGAGAAAGAGAGAGAAGCAGTAGCTAAAAACTTAGAGCGTTGTGTGGTACTCATTTGGATAAGCTATCATTTGTACATGGAAAGCATGTCTGCTTTGGGAGCAAAGTAACATGACCAGCATACCTACAGGAACCAGCTACCAAGAAGACACGCCAAGGTGAGAAGAGCGAATATCTCTGGCGGGCGCTATAAATCGCAGCAACCAAGAACTCTAGAAGTGACCCCTGCGATTTGAAGACAGCCCCGAGTCTCCCAGCTGTGCTGAATAGAACGCGTTACCGCTGGCGCTTTGAAGTGCCTTCGGTTCCTAGGTCGACTGAATAATTCCACCGTCGTTTGAGACCGTTTGGATCGTACACACTAGCTACACTTTGTTGCCAATCTCGCGCCGTGAACAAAACTTGTTGCCCGGTGAATTGAGTTTGTGGCATGGGAGCTGGCGCGACCGGGGTAACCTTTGATTGCTGCTCATATTGTACGGGGAAATGGTCAGGTAAAGAAGGTTGAACAGCCTGGGCAGGATTGCTCAAAGCCATTGGTGGGGAGTTTGTTGTCACAGTGGGTGTACCAATAGAAAATGCCATATCCCATTGACTACACGGTTCGTAACAGTCAGCGGCCATTTCTCGGTGTTGAAAGTTTCTTTTCTTGGGAAAGGAGGTGCTTACTTGATAATGCGAGTAGGATCCCAGCTATTTTCATCAACCAAAGGCGCATTCATTCCGTGGGTGGAGATCGATTGGGTGGGGATTAATCCCAAGGGCTGGAGCTGAGAGGAATCGGACTTTGAATCTTCAGTACCAGCTGATATTGGAGGAGTTACAGGGTAAGCTGCATAACCCACTCTACTTTGAACGCCAGGTACTTGACTGATTTGTGAAGCGTAATGTGAATCTATTGGCGGGCTTGGGTGATATGGCTCGGAGGGACTCCCATATGGGAAAGTTGGCTTCAAATCGAAAGGTCGGTTCACATCAGCAGAAAAGGCGAAACGCAATGAATCGATTTGCGCTTGTAACTCTGGCATAGGCCAAGCAGAAGAACAACGCTCAAGTATTCGCATGTGTCGTGTGAAGTATTCCCGCGCGTCCGTATGAAAATTCGGATCTGGAGATGTTATGGCCACCTGTTGTAGCGTTAGCTGACCGTCAATACTATAAAAGGCCCAGAATCCTCACAAGGTGCAGCATTGTGCATGTCAAGATGGTGTATATTGTGAAATTTATGCCCCTTTGCATGAAAAGCAGGCCAGACAGCCCAAAGCGGTTCAAAATGGCTTCTTGGAGCCTACAAAGGTATTTTGCCGAAGAGTAGCATAACGCCATATGCATCTTCCAGCCTCCCCCTGCCGCAAAAGATTTAGAGGCTATTAATTGTGGACGGTGCAACAGGATAATCCCAAGATGACAGTGGGAGTGCATATTTCCGACAAAATGTGATGGAATCCATGGTGGTGAGCCATCGGGAGGATAGTTGACTTGTAGATCCGGTGGTAAATTCTGAAGCCAGTCGGTAAAGAGAGGGTTCTTTTCAACGAACTTAGGATTAGCCCCCCAATCTTTTTGTTTCTTTATCTTATGATATATGTCGGCAATGATGCGAATATGGCGTGCATTTCGGACGAAGTACGCATATTGCCTTGACCGATCCATTTCGAACTGATCAAGGCCTCTGATATCCAAAGTCGGACTCGTATTTACTGTCTCATGGTCCACACCGTAATCGGAGCGCCCTGGGAATAGTCAGCCAGTATATATACTACGAGAATCAGAAGACGTACCCTGCGGCGCCCCTATCATGACTTCGACAATCAGGAGGGCCTGCCAGACCCGTGTCTGCACCAAGCATTCTACCGGATTCAAGTCGCAAGACCTGCCTTCCGTGTGGAGATTGTTATGTTCATGGATATCCAGATCTTTCGCCATGGAGATGATTGTTTTGACAGTTTGCCAAGAACGGTAATAATAACCTTTCTTAGGCCGTGACTCTCGGGCCTTCAACAGTAGAAGCAGAGCTTGTATCGTACTGAGGCGAGGTTCGTCCATAAAACTAGATTCGTGCCCTAACCAGATGATTCGCAGTCAGTATACGACGTGGTGTACAGGTGCGTGGGTATGCTTGTCGCCTCACTGTTTGCTAATGCGAGCCACTGTGCTCCTTGGGCCGGGTCGTCCGATAGCCTCCCTGCGCATGCAAATAGTGCCTCGAGTAGAAGCGGGGATATTGAGCTTCGTTCGTGTTGCCACTGATAGTACAGATGAGATCGATGGATGACAGGGACGTAAGGATGAATATCATCAAAATATATCTTGAAATAATTCATGACCTCGTCATCAGATGGCATAAGTTCGGGCGGGATGCGTATAGTGGCGCCAGCTCCGGTACTGAGAGGTGGTAACTTTTCGTCTACTTCATCCTGAGTCGGGATTTCTGGTTCAGCCCTTTCCCTTCGTTGCTGTCTGATGTACGGCGCTGAATCTATGTTAATACGTTCCGTCTGTAAGACGCGTTACGAAGGCTAGAGTAGCTCACCAATACCAGTCTCGTCTATCTTGAGCTCCCCTAAGACCTCGCTGAGGTTCTCTGCAGTGGACTGGTCGTGCTCACTGTATATATCACTTTCTGCGGTTCCCAGGGGCTGAGTTTGATCATTGGAGAACATCTGTGACTGAGTGTACTGATGATGTGGCATGGCCACTTGGGGTGACCTCATGTCGTAGACATTTGGCTGGCCTGGAGTAGAATGCGCAAATTGCGGATAGATTCCGATGTTGTCATTATATGGGTGCATGTTACTCATTGAAGGTGGCCCGGAATCTCGATATGTTTGGGAGCTCGTATATGACGATAGTGAGGGTTCTGATGTGTTCGACGCGCCCAACGAGTCGACAGGATTGGTTTCAACGCTTTCCACCGCAGGATACTCGCCATCATGCCCAATTGTTGGGGGAACGCATACTAACTTCAAGCGTGTGCATGCCGAACAAGGCCACGTGTTTGTTGTAGCAGCATCACACTTGATCTTCCGTTTCCTGCAGCCATTGCAAGCTCGCATTACTGAAGATAGGCTCGTAATTAGACGCAACGAAGTCAAGTCCACTATCGGTCAAACATACCTTTGAGCCTCTTATGCCTGTTGTGTTCATCAACGAATACATAGTCTGTATCAAAAGCGGTCAACATATAACTGAAGCAAGAAACGGGCAATTTATTCAAATGACAAATGGTAACTACCGGGGGGAGGAGTCTTACTTTTCTGGCCTTCCCTGGGTGGGCCTGTCGGGGGTGTGAATGTGAATCCTTGCATCTTTGCAGGGACAGCGACACAAGCTATGAGGCAGCGCAGAAAAAAGTGGACCGGACCAGCATGCAACAATCTTCAGGTCCCGGAGGGAAAAAAAGTTGAGGCAAAGGAAAGTATCCGCAGGACCTGCCTTATGCGGATGGAACCAATGTAGAATGTATTCTGAACCTTTCACTGTCGACTTAATGGGCGCTAGTAGGGTCTTCACACTATTGTAGCTTTAATCGCACACTTGCGCAATGGATCCCACTCCTGTTCTGAGTAGGGAGAGGAGATGGGAAGGAGGTGTAACGAGTTGCGACCGAGAAGAGTGATGCGGTAAGGTAGGGATATCTATCGTCAACCGCGGGAACAAGACAGCGTCATCCGGCGATAAAAGAGTGTGACCTGTGGTCTCTGTACTATGGTCTCCTGCATCGATCTGATCAGTTTTCGGGTCATAGATGGGTGCCATAAAGACAGCGCAGCTATGGGCGTAGCGGAATTTTGAACCCTAGGAGTACTGGCGCGACTGACTGTTTCACGAAAGGTAAGCTTCAAGAAGGTCGAGTTTGCTGCGATCCCTATAAGCGGCGACAAGTGAGACTTGGGAGCTCAGGGAAGGGAAAGATATGAAGAAGCTGCGATCATAGGTAACATGATGTCAGTTGTAAACGATGACAGAAGTGAGAACAAATGAAAGGTGGGTAACAGTGAGAATCTGGGCTAGGGACGGAGAAAAGACTATCATTGAGGGCATAACTCGAGAGGGGAGGGAATAAGAAGATGGCTTCCTGCATACGCCGGAAATCCAAGAGCGGCCAACATTGAGATATGGGAAGAGATCCACATGATATATGGTGAAGGAAACGTTAAGCAAGCGGGGGAGTTGTTGGTACCTGATATGTTGAGTTGAACGACTTTCATCCAGTCTGCATCGTAGACCAGTAATGTCAGTATGGAAATCTCGCCATTGACTTTGCACTATGAAGGAAGATAAAGTCGATTGGCGCATCACACTCGGAGGCGAAAGTCACTATCTGCATGAACCGGGAATTGTATGGAGACGGCTAGAGGATCAAAACGCCAGGCCTGGGGATGATGGGTAATTGCAAGAGCAGTACGGAGTAGCGGCTTGGAATAGCAGAGGCAAGAAGATAAGAGCATCAGGGGAATCGAAAGCCCACCGATACAATCAATGATTTTCCCGGATGGAAATAGGATCTCCGTATAGGAATAGGGAGGTTATGCCGGGAACTTGATGCGGTCTCCTTAGCTAAGTCATCACTCTTTGCCGCCTCATTCTCCTGGTACGTAGTTGAACCGTAGATAATAGCAGGTAGTGTGGTTCGTAGTAGTGCACGGAGATCCAAGCGATCAGTCAATAATAAAGAGACGAATGTGCGGAGACCCGACAACAGGGGTGGGTAAACACGCTCGATACCCTGAGGAGGAGTAGAAGCGGGCGCGTGGTGGAAGGATCTTTGGCCTGGCCTAGGTCAATAGGTATGCACCACTTTCTGAGGATCGTCTCGGAAGTTTGAGGGGCTTTTGGAACTAAAACCAAACCTTCCCCCCCGGTCACTCCCAGTGGCGCCCAAAGTAGTGTGTCTTCATATAGGCCTCATGGCCGTCGGTTTAATGGGACCGCGGTCCCCCCTCGTCCCCTCCACGGGAAGGACGATCCCTAGTTAAAATCGGGTTTTAAAAGGATCTTGATCTTCTTGGCCTTGAAAATAGTGCCCCGAACTACGGATTGCGACGTACAGCTATTGATTTCATTAGAGAGGGGAGGAGGTTAGGGGGGGCAATTTCCCTTCCGTTTTCCCTTTTTTTTTCTTTCTTTTCTTTTCTTTTTTTTTTCTGCGCGTATTGTGTGATTTCAGTATTTATTTTGGTGCTTCGGTATATTGTAGTACTACTAGACTTCCCCCGCTCATGCGTACTTAATTAATACACGATCCACGCCCTCGTGCGCGCTATCTAGTCCACCGTATCCAGTACCCATGTAGCTACTCTGTAGTAGATGGATAGTACCAGTTAAATAGACTAGACTAGTACTAGCAGCACCCTCCATTATGGAAAATGGCTTCCAATTACCTGTGTGTACAAGATACCTTGGTCGTAATGTGACACTGACCGTTCCCCCCACCCGGGACCTTCTCCTCGCCATTCCCTTCAGCTGACGCCAATGTCAACATTTCACGGACTCGAAAGTGTCTTGATTATTCCCTTAACAAAATTATTGACTCCCAAGGCTGATTCAATGGGTAGGGTATCACCAGAAAGCTTTCAGATCCTGCTTGTCTGAGTGGTAAGCTTACTGTTTTACTGTTTCCCTTGTGCACGGATAATGGTTACGGTATTAGTACCTACTATGACACAAGCTACGTATGAACTATGGAGGACCTTTGCGGAAGTAGTTTGCCTGGGGCCATTAGTGATTATTATCAAGCAACATAAGAGAAAGATATCCCCCAAATAAACCAATCAATTAATTAGCAGTGATGCGTCATTCTTTAAACCAACCCCTCCCCACTCCTCCTCCTCGTCGCCCGCCCAGGAAACACAACAGCTTGCTAGGGCGGAGACTTCTTGCTCCTTTGTATGCGACTCGTAATCGCTGCTGCTGACTTAGAAATTGTTACACTCACTGGATCTAGAACCTTGATCACCTATTGGTAGCTGCCTAGACACACACAAGTAGGCTATGATGTTGATGGTTTTTTGAAGCATTGGCAGCATGGATATACTCATACTTACTGCGTTAGCGCTGCTGGATTCGGAAAAGTCATTTGGATTGTTGCAGTGCCTATGTACACTGGAGTACTCGAAGGGCTGGTCCGCCCATCCGAAGAGTTGTACTTTGCCCACCTGGTTGATGTCCGTCCATACGCACTTCTTGAGTATCTGCACGCGTTTGGTTCTTCTACTAATGTATTCGTTTCCTTCTTCTTCTTCCTCCTCACTCTGACCTTCTATTCTCTCCATTTTTTATATTTATAAAAAAACTAGTATATATTAAAGACATAGAATCTTGCTTGGGTTTTATCTGCCATTGGGCAATAAGCACCGAGAAGCTTTTTCTTTTCTTTTGACCGATATCAAAAGCACCCATCGGGAAAAAGGTTGTTCCATTTCTTCAAGACGCCGCATTAGTTGAGCATATGATGTGCTAGGGCTTACCATCCCCTCTTGCCCCCAATTTGCCCCTCTCGGTGCTGCTTGCGCGCTTTCTCGATAACCACTTGTATACAGCATAAGCGATCATGGAGTCCTCGATGCAAAATTCGAATCCGACTATTTTGAATGCTGCAGATCTTCCCACCCGTCTGCGTCCTTCATCATGCAAAGCGGGCACTTACGGAGGCGGAATCCTTGCGTCAGCGCTCCCCTCTCTAGCGGATCCCACCAACTTCAGTCTTAGTGAATCGGAAGAGTCTGATGAAGATGTTGATTTGATGGAAGAGCCGATTGATGAACAGGAGATCTTCGGTAAGCTCATCGCTTGTTATTAAACAAGGGGACCGAGTCGCCCGGGAGCCGATTATTTGACAATCTCTCAGATCTTGTGTCGACCATATCCGACCCCGAGCATCCCATTTCACTTGGAGCTTTGGCAGTCGTTTCGCTGCCTGACATTTCTATCAAACCAACCTTGCCGGATGTACCGAGCTCGCTTCTTCGGACAGTATCCGTTCTCATAACCCCGACGATAACACATTGCAGTCTGGCCACAGTTATAGGTCTTGGTGTACGAGTTCGATTGGAGCAATCATTACCTCCGCGTTTTCGCGTGGATGTCCGGATCAAGGAAGGGACACATAGTACTGCCGATGAAGTGAATAAGCAGTTGGCCGACAAAGAAAGGGTGGCTGCTGCACTGGAAAATGGTACGCTAATGGGCGTCATCGCAAAGATGCTCGAAACATGCCAATAATACGATTGTACTGCTATTCGGACGCCGTTTATGACCCTCGTCGGCGTCTCTACTATGCCATAAGAATACCCGTTTCGATGATGACTCGATTTGACTTCCGATAGTTATACAACAATATGAAAAAAGGAACAAGAGCCACTTACGGCGCTTGTTGCCGCTTCTTTCCACCTATCGACAAAAAGTAGCTCAGGAGTCTAAAACGCCACTTTCCTTCAAACCTTTCCAGAGCTCTGGTTCCAAAAACTTGCTGACAGTGACATCCTCAGCCAATCCTTTACGTCTCCGCGTTTTCAAAACGAAGTCGCGGGCTGTGGCCATGGCGGGCGCCATCTCTAAGGGCTTCAACTTGACATCGCGATCCAGTGGATCCCCTGGGACGACGCTCCACTTATCGAAGACTAGACTAACGGCAGCTTGGCCCTGTGTATGGATTCGGAGATCTGTTTCAAATCCGAATGAATCTATCACGGGGATCAAACCACGAACGGAATAGAGTGGAGTTCCTGCTATGGGTCCATCGGAGAGTACATGGCCCCTTCTTCTTGAAAGGACTGTGTACACAGATGCGACAGCGTCCGCCGGTCCAGTCATCGTGCAAGAGTAAATAGGTTCCATTAGGCGTGGTGATGCCATGAGGAAAGATGAGTAAATCGCTCGTCGAGCTGTGGGGATGATTTGACCACCACCCCTGTAAATGGCTTGGTCGGCGAGAGAAACGTCGGTGAGCCTGAATTTCGCATTCCGAATGGCTATTCTTGCAGTTAGTCACAATGAATGAACCGCTCTTCTTCTGCTTCTATAGCGATGTAACCCCCCCCCCCCCCCTTCCCTTTTTTTAATGCGTAGGATCTGGGTGCGATAATTCTCAAAACATCCAAGGGAAGCATGGTGCACTCACGTTCTTCGCAAAGAGGACCTTCTCGTGTTCCCCAAGTAAATCCCTGCGTAATAGAATCTCTTACACTCCCAAGCAACTTCTTGTCGATCTGCGATGGTAGCGTATCATCCTGTAAGATGTTGGGGCCCATCTCGTCTGGACCGAAAGCCCAGATACTCCTGGCTGCAAGTTTGTCCCAGTCGTACCGCTCTTCGAAAAAGCGCGACACTTTGCGAATCGGGTCTTTGATATTGACAGCACCGCTCTCGATATCCTCGGCGATCCCTTCATCCAGAGGCTCTGCAATCATCGTGATTTTGTTCTTCTTGTTTGGCGTGATGGAATAACACATGATAGCCGAGGTCTCCACAACAGTCTCGCAGAAGCGTGTAACAGGATCTGAAACCTTGATCTCCATTTCAGAATATAGTCTTCGTAGGTCATGAAGCACGCAGTCCATATATAGCTCGCCCGTTCCGAGAACTACATGCTCGCCAGACTCCTCCACTTTTGTGGATATCAGCGGGTAGCTTTTGTTGACTTTTCGGAGACCCTCAAGCATCTTGGGCAATTCCGACGGATTAACTGGCTCGACAGCAACCTTGAAGACGGACTCTGTTATATGCCGAACTGATCGGAAGATGTATGCATCCTCATCGTCTTCCAAGGTGAGAGGCACGATAGTCGCCGTCTTCACAATAGAGTTATCCACACCTCCTAGAAGAACCAAGTTGCCGGCAGGTACGCCGCTTGTTGGGATGTTATAGCAAGACTCAGCAATCCATGTATCGGAAATGGTCGCAACAACCATGTCTTCTTCATCTTCGGGGGTATAACCTTCGCCAAGGACACGGACCTGTTGGCCAGGACGAGCTGTGCCGCTCATTATCCTGCCAAAGGAGTGAAATTTTGAACCATCCGAACTGTTAAAAAGTTTAGTAACATGTACGACCAGTGGTCCATCGGAATCACAGGCAGCCATAGCTGCCGCCACCTTAGAATCGAGAGGCCCAGTGTAGTACCGATCAAGCTTCTTTTGAGCACCCTCTGCAGGCGAAGGCACATGCTGGAGAACCATGTCCACAAAGCCTGTTGCTGTACCGAAGAACTGTTCACAGACAAGGTTCAGCAAAGTCTTTGCATCTGTCTTGAGCTGTGACGGCTTAAGACTAATACCAACGCTAGAAAGCGTTTCCTTTAGGTCCTCCGGGCTCTCACTTAATGTGTGCGAGTAAAGTTTGTATATGGGCTCGAGAACAAATTGAACAAACGTTCTTTTAGAACCTTCTTCCACTCCTTTTCGTGTGAATTTTCGACTCTTTGGATTGAAAAATATATCGCCCCATAGGCGCAAACAGAATGCGGCTGCTTCAATTTGTGGATGCGTTTCAGAATACATCTTAGCAAATGAATGCAACGTGAAGCACCAGCCCATGGAGGCGCAAGCAAAGGCGACGTTTCCCTTCTCGGGGCTCAGCCGCCTTGCAGCGCCCTGTCCAGGCAGTACGTTCTCGATGATAGTGTTGACCTCCTCGATCACATGTTTCAGCTTAAAATAAGCGTCGTTAGGAGGAATCTTTAATTCCAGGATTAGTCTGTCCATCTTGTTCACAACCAATGTGAGCGGCAGGTCTTCAAGGATAGCATGCTTGATTATTTGCTCGGTGTTGGCCTGGACACCTTCGACCACATCTACTACAAGAACCACGCCATCGACCAACCGACAAGCAGTAGCCACCTCGTCCACAAAGTTCACATGCCCTGGGGTGTCAATTATGTTAAACAAATGAGATTTGCCCTTTGTGCCCTGAAGCACCAAGCTCATGGGTGACGCTTTGATGGAAAGACCTCTTTCTTTTTCCAGAAAGTGAACGTCGGTGTAGCGTAGTTGTTCCTCTTTCCGCTTGCCTGTTCGATTCTCGAGGCGACCGGTGAGATCATGGGTCTGAGTGACTAGCATGTCCATGAAAGCCGTTTTTCCATGGTGCAAATGACCGACGAGAGCGATGTTTCTTGTTTGGTCCGGGTAGCTGAGCAAATCCGTCATGAATTCCCGTGAATAAAAGACGGGAGGCAATTCGGCTTCTTCGATCGCAAACTTCTTTTGTTGGACCGGAGCGATGATGGGCTCGGACAGAGGCTGTGCATCCTCCTCCTGCACCAGAGTCTCGACATCCTCTCCATATACCTGTTGTGCACTGGGATAGTATTGTTTATCTTCGTGAAGGATGACCGCGTTTGACGGGCCCTCTGTGACTGGTATCAGTAAGGCGGACCTTGCAAACAAGGTGAACATGAAAAAGGTAACTCTACCATCGACATCCATTAACTGTTGCTCATCAACATCATGCGCTTCCTCGTCATCACCATCCCCGAACGCCTCTTCAAAAGCGAAAGCCTGAGGATGGGCATCCTCATGACGCGGGGACTCCTCGTCCGACCCATCTACCTCTCCAATATAGTTGCCAAACCTGCCGGAAAGCGAAGAGAATAATCAGCCGTGCGCAAGGTGGGATGAGAGGCATGGTGACCAATTGAAACATACTCATCGTAAAGATCGTCCATTTTCCAACGTGGTTGGACTAGAGGCGAATCTTCCGGGGTTTACTTTTCCTTTCTCTCGGCCTCGTCCACCAGCTGGAGAGAGAGGCTCGCGTCGGTTTGGCGATAAGTTTCTAGTAGCTCCGGGACTGAGCTTGGCGTGTTTGCATGGCTCCGGCAAGTTACTCCGAAAGTAGTACGTTTGTCCGTGGCTGCCAGTGGCCGCCGCCCCGCCTCCCGAGGCGAAAAAAATAGGGTAATTATCATTGTTGTAAGGAGGGGCCGGCGGCGGGCAGGCCAACGAGTGACTGACTCGGAAAGCAAACAGTTCATCCCGTTCGTTCCCTCGTGGCCTGAGCTATCATTTCACCCTCATTTGTTATTTATTTTCAAATAGCCTGCCGGACTTCCTTTTAACTCTTTCTTTTTTCCCTTATCCCCTTTCCAAAATCGCTTGCCTACAAAAGCACGCATTTGCGCCACCATGTCTTCCCTACCTCCGGTCTACATTGTCTCCGCCGCCCGCACACCAGTGGGCTCTTTCCTGGGGTGAGACTTCACATCGGGCCGCCGCAGGCTCTCAAATAAATGGTCCACAGCGAAGCTGATCCTATTTTCTTGTTTCGCAGTTCTCTCTCGAGCCAGACCGCTCCGCAGCTGGGTTCCCATGCGATCAAAGGTGTGCCTGCAGTGCTGAAGCGATGGATGATGTGCCCCTGATCGCTGACTGCTTCGATGTCTAGCTGCCCTTAACAAAGCCGATGGGATCAAGCCTTCCGATGTACAGGAGGTTTTCTTCGGCAACGTTCTTTCTGCGAAGTGAGTTTTCTCGCTTGCTGTGTTCATGATTACCCTTTGCCATGATGCATGCTAATGGATTTAATCAATCAGTGTCGGACAGAACCCCGCCAGACAATGCGCTCTTGGCGCCGGACTCGACGAGTCAACGGTTTGCACCACTGTTAACAAGGTCTGTGCCTCGGGGTTGAAGGCGGTCATTCTTGGTGCTCAGACCATCATGACTGGAAATGCAGACATCGTTGTTGCAGGCGGTACTGAGTCCATGTCCAATGCCCCGCATTACCTTCCGAACCTCCGCAATGGTGCCAAGTATGGCCACCAGAGCTTGGTGGATGGTATTATGAAGGATGGCCTGACAGATGCGGGAAAGCAGGAGCTTATGGGTCTGCAGGCTGAGGAGTGTGCTCAGGATCATGACTTCACCAGGGAGCAGCAGGATGAGTATGCTATCCGGACCTACGAAAAGGCCCAGGCTGCCCAGAAGGCCGGCCTCTTCGACGAAGAGATTGCACCTGTTGAACTACCCGGCTTTAGGGGTAAGCCAGGTATCACCGTCGCTCAAGATGATGAGCCCAAGAATGTGAGAATTCATTTCCCCCCGTGAGGCATCCTTGGTCCAGATCGTTCATGTCAAACTGACTATTTGGCTTTTATCTTCTAGCTCAACCCTGATAAGCTTCGAAGCATCAAGCCCGCTTTCATTCCTGGCTCTGGAACCGTGACGGCCCCCAACTCCTCTCCTCTTAACGACGGCGCCGCCGCTGTTGTCTTGGTTTCCGAGGCCAAGGTTAAAGAGCTGAACCTCAAGCCTGTTGCAAAGATTCTCGGTTGGGGAGATGCCGCACACCAACCCAGCAAGTTCACCACTGCTCCTGCGTTGGCGATTCCCAAGGCGCTCAAGCATGCAGGTGTCGCTCAAGATTCCATCGATGCCTTTGAAATCAACGAGGCCTTTAGCGTTGTTGCTCTCGCAAACATGAAGCTTCTGAACCTACCTGAAGAAAAGGTCAACCTTCATGGTGGTGCTGTGGCTATTGGCCACCCCATTGGTGCCAGTGGTGCTAGGATCTTGACTACCCTGCTCGGAGTTCTCAAGGCAAAGAAGGGCAAGCTCGGCTGTGTCGGAATCTGCAACGGTGGTGGTGGTGCTAGTGCCATGGTGGTGGAATCCCTCGTCTAAGCTAGAAAAGTTTCACCTCGTGGACTAAAGTATGCTGTCGCGAAATATGAGGACGGCAAAATGATATAAATACCCTGATCTTGCCGATGCTTAAAGACTGCGCATCATGTCTTAAGTCAGGGTGAGTGGGTCTGGCATCTGACGAAATGCAAATATCATAAATACATGAAATCTGTTCTTTTGTCGGAAAGTCTTGTTTATCCTGTTTATCTTGGCACAAGCACTGCAATTGACGTACCTAGTACAGAACATCCGTCACCAGCAGTGTAATATTTAGTCAAAGCCTTGAGTGTTCTGTCTCAATACTACGGTTAAGACATCAAGGGCTGATGGCCATTTTGCCGTGTATAATACATGGTCATACTGCTACTAGAATTTACTACTTGCTCACCTTCGCTTCTCATACAGCGCTCGGCTGCTGCGAAAGTCTCTGTAAACACCCATTAGCCAAAAGCGCCTAGATGCGCCTAGATATCTTATTAGCTATTAGCTCTTGACTGGGCCGTATTCTTGATGATATTTCTTAGGATATACTGGCTACAATGCCTCATGAACAGAGGAGTCCTGGGAGATGTTCAAGCAAATGCCCCAACAAATGCCATGAGTAGAGCGCCTCCTGCAACGGCTACACAAGCCTCGACACGTCGTTGACCCCTGAGCGTCGCATAGCTTGATTCACTAAGGAAGTCCTCCGCCAGAAGTTCAACAAGCCCCGCAAATAATAATAGCCCGCTACTGATGGCGTTAGTTATTCCCACTGTGAGTAAGCCTGTCGTACTTGCTGGATCATAGAGGTTATGCAGAACAAGCCCCATAGCTTGCCCTATGGGGGTAGTGGTTCCATAGGCAAGCGCCATGAGCCACGGCCTGTACGATGATGGGGGAAAGAGATCAGGGATCAAAGACGCTATCCTTGATCCAAGAGCAAATCCTTCAAAAGTCTGGTGAAAGCAAATAGCCACAAGAAGGACGATGAATGATGTACCCGTGGCAACACTGAGGGCCATTCCGATGAAAATACTGTGGAAGAGAATTCCGGCTTCGAGCAACAAGCATTGAAGCAATTGGCGCTGTGGATTTTGCCTGGATGACTCGAGGTCGGTCCCCTGATGTACGCTACTATGAGACCGACGGTGACCAGAATGCCACGGCTGCTCATCCCGATTCTTATGGGAATTGCCGCGAGTATTTTCGAAGGCACTTGGTTCTTCAAAAACCCTGTCGCTGAGTTCGGTAGACACAGCCGAATCCTTAATGTTTGATCCTGAAGGCCCACTGACCGGGGATCTTCCAAGTGACGCGGGAGAGTGTAGAGTCATGTCTTCCCCAAGGCTGTCGAGGTGGACATTGTCGGCCAATCCGTTTCCGTAGTCACTGTCTTCCTCTTGATCGTCACTTGCGAGATCTGCGCCGACGTCGCTGATCAACTGGTCGTATTCGCTCCCATGGACATGGCCCGCACCTTTCAGGGCAAAGAACATCTCAACGAGAACCACCACGAATACAGCAATCATAGCCACAAAGCCGGCCATGGCACGATAGGTCTCGCTCCAGAAACGAGGGAGACAAGGGTCGGTCAATGAGACAAATGCTGTAGGGAGGAGGTGTACGAAGGCTGTTGCAATGAGTACGCCTGTTCCAAAGTGTCTAGAAAGGAAAAGGAACCGGCGTGGAATTGGGAGGCGCGGGAACCGACGAGCAAGAACAGGGAATGAGCATGCTAATATAACCATGGGTTAACAGCCAATCACCCAAGAAGCCAAAGAGAAAGTAAACTGTACCTAGCGTGCTAAGCACAAGGATAAGGAACAGTGCAAAGACATGTATCGGCGTGTTATAGGCGCCTCGCTCCCTTGATCCGCAAGTCGAGGTGTCATCGTTAGAAGCCCGAGCATAACTCCGTCGGGAAAGCTCCGTCCGCAAAACAGATTCAGGAATATCGGAGATTAATGAGAACATATATTCAGTCCCTGCAGACAAATATTCGCGTTAGTAGAGAACGAAAATATGCCGTGAGGAGGGGAGCAGGCTTGGAGTTGAACCGGTCAAGGCAAAAAGAGAGATATATGTGCGTCTCCCACATTATGTTCCCTTTAAACTGAACTTACCTGAACTACTAGGGTCGGTCTGACCCGGCCTTTGGTTTCCATCCATTCTCGGCTAAACGTCATATAACGATGTACTCTCGCCGCATCCATGACCTGAAAACATGCACTGGGCGCCGGCACAGGCTCACGAACGGTTCAGAAGCAGCCTAAGTCGCGTCAGCAGTTGTCAATTCTACAATGCAGCGAGTACATACAGTTGGTTCTGCGAGAGGGATAATACCGGAAGTTCTGGCAGCGAGCAGTCTCAATGACGTGATGTACCTACCATGTCTAAAGGAGAGGAACGCCTATTCGACATGTAGGGAGACTTTGCCGGTAATCCGGACACGCGGCTCGTTTGTCCAGATAATCTTATCAATCAGTTCCGTGGTTCTCGCTTATCTAATCAAACCGCTGCGCATTTGATTGTTGGATTGACTAATCTGGATAATCTAATCTGGATAATCTCGAAGGAGCGACGTACGAGATTCACACCACAGATGTTTCAGATAGCTATTATTGAGGCTCAAGAATATACTAGGGTAGCCTCTATGAGTATCAGTTGTTACTCTATATGGGCATAATAGTATGCTGTGAAGAGCAGGACGTAGCTCCTTGAGATACCCAATACGAGGTAGTCGATTCCAATTCGGAGAGATATAAGTGCGCCCGAAAGGGTCTCTCCGTACGGCCACGTTAGTATCTGATGATTCTCACCCAGATTTCTTGATAAGGGAAAAAAAGAATACTAAGTGCAATGTACTTCTTGGCAGGCGCTGTTGGCTAATGGAAATGGATCTGTCTATTTCGTAGAATTTCTTCAATTCAATACTACCTGTTTCTCAGCTTGGTCCAGCCACTGGTACCCTTCATACGAGTGGGTCCACGAGGTCCACTGAGGTTGCTCGCGCCGGCAACTGTATCATTTACGCTAATCCCGCTATTAGTATTACCCTGTCGCTCCGGTGAGGTAGAATCGGTGGATGGATGTTGAATAAGCATTGATTCCCTCGGTTCCTGACTTGCGTCGTCCCAATCGCCTTCCAGCAGCTCCCATTCTGCACTGGCCATTTCACCCAACAGAGCTGATTTCAGCTTATCCACGATCTTTGTTGGAGTTGGAAGTCTCCATGTGCGCATGAATTCAGCCCCCTCGACAGCACCCAGAAAGGAATGTGCAGTCCCATGCGAGTAATGCCCTAGCATAGGGAATGACATTGTGCGCTGAATGGTAGTTCTGGGTGAGTCCTTTGATACCCTCATCTTCGCCTGTATGTCGCGTCCAGCAAAGGCTCTTGATAGTGTCGATGGCTGCGCAGGTGGTGCCACAAGGAGTTGCCACAAATTCTTCCCAACGTTACAAACTTCTTCCCAGGACTCTGATGTTATGTTTATACCTTGAGTTCGAGATAGCCACGACACATTCCATGCCAGCAATGTTACCCCTTCAAGAAATAGTGCATATGTTCCAGGATCTTCCCTAGCCAGTTTCGGAAGTGCTCTATCGATGGAGAGGGGCCGAGGTCTGGAAGGGCGAGGCGAAGTGGTTCTAGTTCCAGGCGGTACAGATGGTGGACGACGTAGCGAATATGTTACGGAGTTTGGGTCTCGTGAAAGATAGGACGCAGAAGGTGCGCATATAGTGGGTATAGGCTGGTCTTTATGAGGTAAAGTGATTTCCGCTGGGAGTCTGAGAGACAGATAATGCGAAACAAGGACGAGAAGGTGAGCAACATTGAAGAGGGAGGTGGATATATAAGCTGGCGTGACACCTGTCCAAAGCATTACTAACTGATATAAGTCAAAAGTCGCAGAGCTGTAACTTTCCGTTCATGTCCCTCAAATCGATGATATCTATACCACCCATCGTGTAGACCTCTTGGGACAATCCTTCCTTACTCCTTGTCTTCCGCTGTAGCCCATAAAGATTGGCAGCTTCTCGGCAGAGGAATATTCGGGCCTCTGCAGTTTTGCTATGGAGCGAATGCCAGAGATGATCCGTCCTTTTAGTATTATTCTGGATGTTGGCCAGAATTGCAGCTTCCCGCTCGCCGAGCTGATACTGTGCAGATTCAGAGTCCGAGTGCCGTCGTGCTAGTGCGAGTTTGCGTTGGGAAATTTCAAGTCTTTTGTCCTTGATCTCAGCAGTCAGGTTTTCGAGTTGATCACCGAGTAGCCTCAACCTTTCACACGACTCAGCTTCTCCCTTGGCGATCATCTGTAAGCTTCGCTTGGCAGAGAGCCCATTTTGGTAAGCAATGGCGGTTTCTTTGATTTCACCTGACCATTCCGCTTGGGTTGTCTCAGGGGTCACTCTAGCTTGGATATGTTCCGCAATAGACTGTTTCTCAAGCAGGACCCTCGCGTTCTCAACCCGGAGCTGATACAGCTGACTACGGGCACAGGTAGGGCAGAAAAACCGGGTTCGCGAAGCTGGAGCGCGGAAACATGTATTACAGCTCATCTCAAAAAGTTTTGTCTCACTTTCGGTTGATCGATACCGCCGTAGCTCACAGTCGCATGGCCTTGGGCTTCCGGTGATGGAATACCAACTCGACTGTCTGGCTTCGAGCACGTAGGTTGCATGAACAAATCATGAAAAAGGGGGGCACTCATGTCTTAATCGGATTAAGTGATGACATAGGACGATATGTGATCGATAAGTGTCACTGGATTTACTTATCTGAAGCCAACGAAGGGGACCGCCGTTTGCGTCACATCACCTGACCAATCGTATATATGGACTGGGTGTTTGACATGAGGCACATATATATGTATATATTACGTAAGCGACATCGGTTGTCGTAATCATCACACCGCTCCTTTGTGCTTAGGTGCGTATCCGTAACAGTATCACTGAACTTACAGCCGAGTATCAGCAGCTGAGAATTTACCAGCTTCGGTTCAGTACGGAGAAGTTAGTATAAACAAATATTATAGGTCGCTGTATTGTTATGAGGCATGTTAATTGAGCATACCAACCGGCTTGGCCTTACACACACTGAATACCTTACCGAAACGTATAATTGCGTTTGCAGAAGCCTATTGGTTTTAATAAAGTGCTGCTCAATCGGAACTATCAGCGGCTTCCAGGAGCTGAATGATGCGGTTATTGGAATTCGACGCGGTGAGATGGGCCTGCAGGTGATCACCACTTTCGGCCTTTATAAACATATCAATCGGAAGCAGTATGTGCGATGTAGTATGGTGGATAGTTGCGATCACCTGACTCATCTCGTTTCCCCCTCAGGGAGTTTCGATGCTAGACTGAGCCATAGATTAAGTTCACAAATTGCTACTTCTGCCATACACTCGAAAAAGAGCAAGTTCTAGCGCTAGGCGGTTGTAAGTTGAGCCACGCATATTTCTATGGTGCGTATGCTAACATTTGACAGGGTTCCCCTGGTACATACCCAGTTAGTTGAGCATCGAACGTGAGCATGATCGGCAATAACACGCGGTCCATGTCTGCACGATATATTTAGATCTCACTTCTCTGTATCTATTGCTACTGCTCCTGCTCCTATTCGACGCTGATCCTTAGCCCGAGAAGCTATAATCTAATCATCGGCATGACTTCTCTAAACAGGGACTTTGCAAGCTCCAATGTCCCGGGTAGTGATCTGCATCAGGACGACCTTCGCACCGAGTCTCTGAGGACACTTCAGCAGTATATGTCTCCACCTTCAGGAAACCTAATGGACTATGATTGGGACCAACTCCAAGAAGAATACCTCGCTTCTATGGAAAAGCATGAGAATGCTGAAAGAGACTTACGTAACCGTGTCTCCAAGTTGCTTGAGGTGTTTATAGCCGTCATTGATCTCGTGGCCTTTATCTGATATTCTCTTTTAGATCTTCATGGCGTGGTCGGAGACAACTGTTATGCGCGATGAAATCAGAGCTTTAAAAAGGTTGGTCCTCCCAAGTCCCCGAAGTCTTCAACACAATCACTGATATTATTGTAGATTTAAGACACAAATGAAACATGTTCAGACATCTGAAGAAGATCTAGAACTGAAACGTAAACACTGTACGTAAAATCAGTCTCAGCTAAACCCGTTTGTATGTATAATTTGCTGACGATGACTCAGATGTCGATGTTGTGGAGGCTTTCGAAAGTGCCCTCGCTTTATTGAACGACCGCCTCAAGTCGTAACAATTACTCGAGGGCGGTTCAGTTCTTTGAGCCTTCTCCGTTTCCAGACCTCATACTGAAACCGCAGAAAATTACACATTATCACAGCTTATCATATAATGTATTTAATGAAGCCCTACTGTTTCCTTCGCATGGCAATAGATAATTTAGACCGAAAGGTTACCATCCAGACTATCACTGTTCCTCGATATCGACTTGATAAGGCCATATACGTCCAAATAACCTACTCCCCTGCTCTGGTTGAGAAGTTGTTTCGTCCTCCGACACTATGATAGGTGTCACTAACACCTCTCCCAGAGCTTGTCAGTAGCCGTTCCTCCTCAGCCTCCTCAGCTTCCTGGTCTAGTAGACGTTCATCAAGTTTCGGATGGCGGATGAAAGAGGTGACCAAGACGAGCAAGTAGACACCTGAGATTTTAGATCTCATAAGCCTGTGGCTAGATTTTATGAAGACTGGAGGTTCCCACTTACCGAGAAAGATAAATTGAGACCAGAAAAATACTGTGCCGAAAAAGGGATAGCTTATCGTCACGCGGTTGAGGAACATACTAGTGACGCTGGGTGTGCAGACTTGCTTGGCAGCCGTGTTGTCTGTTAGTTCCGAGCATGGCTTGATCAGGCGTTTGTTAGTCAAACAATCCGATTGCTGGCCCGGGGGGCGATCGCAGAATGTTTGTGGTCCAAAAGTTGCGTACTGGGGTGCAACAAGCATGGGAATCGAATAGTCCAAAGCTAGTATTGTCAATATCAGCATGGCAGTGGTCAGAAGCAGGGCTTGTGGAGACGTGTGCCCCAATCTGATCCGAAATATTCTGATCCATAGAAAGCGAATGCCAATGGTAGATATCCCGACCACTGAACTGCCAAACAACAACAGAACAACTACTGTAAAGACGGCGTAGTCGATCGGAAATACCTTTGCTGATTGAACGAATACCCAGTTCATGGGATTGAAAACCCCAATGCGACTGAGTATGTATCCGCAACGTTGTTTGCACATAGAATTCTTGGCTTTGTCAATTGCCGTCAAGAGCATCGATATCCATATCATGAGTGCGACTAAAAGAATGGCAATGCCGCCTAGGAGCTTTAATGGGCGGAAGAAAGCCGTGATCTTTAGCCATGCCCTCATAAATCGGCCTCGACCTTCACCGTCAGCCTCTTCTGCCAAGCGTTGCCGCCTAATAAGCGTCCTTTCATCTCGAACGAGGGTATCGAGCTCTCTACGTTCCTTAGAAGAGAGGAGACCCGGATCTCCTCTACAGCGCCCTTCCAGCTGGCGCTGACGCTCTCGATTAGATTCGAGCTGTGCACCTGTCGATGCTTTCCAGGTCATGTCTGACACAGATGGAGCTGCCCGTATCATCCTCATGGGAAGAACGGCAAGGCCCGTTGAGGTATATAAGACATAAAGGAACAGCCCCAGAGTTATCAATAACCCAAGGGTGAATGTAATAACCCTCTCGCCGCCTAAATGGAAACCAATCAGTATTAAATTATGATGAACAGGTATTCTCTTTTCTTTTAAATTTTAGAAAAAGGGGGAAATAAGGATATGCTGGAGGGAGGCGAAGGGAGATCTCACGATTCTCAGCCAGAAGCTTCCTGAGATATTCTGAAAAATTGCTGTCCTTAATATTCGAAACAGGGACAAGAAAGCCAACAATGAAAAGCACAACCACTATCGCAATAAACGAGATAGTGTACTTAAACGCGGTCCAGAGTCGTTTGGCAGCAGATTGCTCACCGGATTCGACAGCCACTTCATCGTATTCTTCGTACCAGAAATAGACAAATGGAATTGCGAGAAGGCATAGGAATGCATCAAGCGAGTAGAGGAGATAGTACACAGCCGTTAATAGAGAAACAATCTTGTCTACTTCATCCTGAGTGGCCCAAGGTTTTCTTTGACCAAGCTTCGAGGATGTGGTAGAGGATATTAAAGCAACATCCACGGGCAACAAGAGAACAGTGGCAAGTAAACTTGTAATCGCGACAATACACGTGAACGTCACAACTGAAGAGCGATCCCGAGGCGTTTGATATGTATAGATGAACACCGACGCTACCATTACCAGAACAGCTACCACAATAGCGTAAACTGCCCATATAAGGGATGTTTGTAAGAGGGCCATCTTGGTTATAGCGATAGATTAGGCCCTACGAAAGGCGAAAGACAACAGTTCCGCAAAGGGTTGGGTGCATGTATTGTCAAGACTCCAGATCCGATGGATTTTTCACATCGGAGTAAATGGATAGACGAGCTAGATCCTATCCTGTTTCAAGTTGTATTCATACCCAAATCACTCAAGACGGGCATGACGATAAATATGAGCAAGGCAGGCAGGTAGAGAAAAAGATTAGTTGTTGAGGACCACCAACAATTAACGTTCATTTTTGGGGTCAAAAAGTCCGCATGTATTACGTCATCGTCTGGGAGGCCAGATGTATTGTCACGTGTTGCGTCGCACTTGAAGCACGGAACCTCCAATCATGCCCGTCCCAGCTAGGAATGTTATGATAAAGCTTGGGTTTACTATTTATTCTCGTCGCCGTCATCCCAGGCTTAACACAATCATATTCTTTCTTCACAACAATCATCTGCTTAGCCCGTTCTTACTTTTCTGGCAATGCTGCCGTTTGCGCAGGTCAGTAGAGTAAACTGGGTTTGACGAGGAGAGTCAAACACTCCTGGGCAAAGCAAATTTCTGGTTTGGCAAACGCATGATGCAGTGCTATACTGAACTATTGCCCCCGACTGGGGTCACCCATGCTTTGGCGGTCCCTTTCCTTGCGGCAACATCAAATGATCTGATGGTGGTTAGAACATCACTGCTTCAGATCTATTCGCTGCATAAAGTTACCTCACATGCGGAAGGAGCCGACGCCCAGCAGGAATTGACGAAGCTCCTCCTGGAAAAAGAGTATTCACTTTCGGGAACTGTAACTGGTCTTTGTCGGGTCAAGGTTCTCAACAGCAGGAGCGGCGGAGAAGCTGTTTTGGTCGCCTTCCGGAATGCCAAACTTAGCTTGATTGAATGGGACCCAGAGCGTCGAAGCATCTCCACCATCTCCATTCATTATTACGAGCGAGATGATCTGACCCGTAGTCCATGGGTTCCTGACCTGAAAAACTGTGGCAGCATCCTCAGTGTGGACCCAAGCAGTAGATGTGCGATATTCAACTTTGGAATTCGGAATCTCGCCATTATTCCTTTCCACCAGCCAGGAGATGACCTGGTGATGGATGATTATGGGTCAGACCTCGGGGAAGGAATGACAACTGACCACGATCTCGGAGGTGGCGCTGATAAGGCCAAAGAGGGTATTGCGTATCAAACTCCATATGCCCCGTCTTTTGTTCTGCCCTTGACGGCATTGGATCCTTCCATACTCCACCCGATAAGCCTTGCTTTCCTATACGAGTATAGGGAACCGACCTTTGGCATATTATATTCTCAAGTTGCAACATCAAGTGCCCTCCTGCCTGAAAGAAAAGACGTGGTTTTCTATACTGTGTTTACGCTAGATTTGGAGCAGCAAGCATCCACGATATTACTTTCCGTGTCAAGGCTGCCTAGTGATCTGTTTAGGGTGATGGCCCTCCCACCTCCTGTCGGCGGTGCTTTATTGATCGGGTCCAATGAATTAGTGCATATTGACCAGGCAGGCAAGACAAATGCCGTTGGAGTTAACGAGTTCTCAAGACAAGTTTCATCATTTTCTATGACAGACCAATCCGATTTGGCACTACGTCTTGAGAATTGTATCGTTGAGTGTCTCGGGGATAGCAGTGGGGACATGCTTTTGGTGCTTTCTACCGGGGAGATGGCCATCGTGAAATTCAAGTTAGATGGGAGGTCAGTCTCTGGGATCTCGGTTCACCTGCTGCCGGCTCACGCAGGTCTTACCTCCATGAATTCCGCGGCAGCTACTTCAACCTTCATAGGTGATGGGAAAATTTTCCTGGGCAGCGAGGATGGCGATTCGGTGCTTTTAGGCTATTCTTGTTCATCCTCCAGCACAAAAAAGCACCGTCTGCAAGCAAAGCAAGCGATAGATGACTCTGCGGATATGTCAGAAGAGGACCAGAGTGAGGACGATGTGTATGAAGACGATCTTTATTCTACGTCCCCGGACACAACACTTACCGGCCGCCGTCCATCAGGAGAATCATCTGCTTTCGGGCTGTATGACTTCCGGATGCACGATAAGCTTATCAACATTGGCCCTTTGAGGGACATAACCATGGGAAGGAGGCTACCCATGAACCAAGAAAAGGGAGGCGATCGTACTGATAGTACTTCTCCAGAGCTGCAAATAGTAGCTTCCCAAGGCTCACACAAAAGTGGCGGTTTGGTAGTAATGGCCCGCGAGATCGATCCCCATGTCGTCGCCTCATTTTCACTTGAGTCAGTAGACAGTATCTGGACAGCTTCATTGACTTGGGAGGAAGAAGCTGTCTCGAGAACGTCTGAGAAGCTAGGGCAACGATCGCAGCGATGCTATGTTATTGCAACAGAGGCCAAAGCTTCCGATAGGGAAGAATCGCTCATCTTCGTTGTGGATGGCCATGATCTAAAGCCTTTCAGAGCGCCCGATTTTAATCCCAACGAAGATGTGACAATCAACATTGGGACACAGGAAAGCAGGAAGCGCGTGGTTCAAGTCCTGAAGAATGAGGTGCGGAGTTATGACATTGGTAAGTTCACACCGCGCCCGGTGTCGATGTAATTTTTCTGACGGAACAGACCTGGGTTTAATTCAAATATACCCGATATGGGACGATGACACCAATGATGAACGAATGGCTGTTAGTGCCAGTTTGGCCGACTCTTGTCTTGCAATTCTACGGGACGATTCTACGTTATTGTTCCTTCAAGCAGACGACAGTGGAGACCTTGATGAAGTAGACCTTGGTGAGGATGTAGCGTCTGGAAAGTGGATATCCTGTTGCTTGTACAGCGATAAAACTGGGTTGTTTTCCTCCGTTGATCGAACACTGAGTGAGCCGGTCAAGAACGATATGTTTCTATTTCTACTCAGCCATGATTCCAAGCTCTTCGTAAGTATCATGAACCCACTATGCGAGATTTCCTGCTCTGATCGTCTTCTACCCCGCGTTGATGGCATCTAATGCTTCCGAATTCATCAGGTATATCGCGTCCGC